GACCAGAAGAACTAGATGGTGCCCGGCTACCACCAATGACCACCTGACAGGGAACACAACAGAGAGTCCCAGATGGAGCAGGAGAAAGATGGGGTGCAGAACTCAAATTCTAGTAAGAAGACCAGACTTAATGGTCTGACTGAGACTGGAGGTACCCCGGAAAGCATGGCCCCTGGATTCTCTATCGGCCCAGAACTAAAACAATTTCTGAGGCCAACTCTTCAGACAGGGATTGGACTGTACTGTGGAACATAAAGTGATACTCTTGAGGAGTGTACCTCTTAGCTCAATTAGATAAAAGAGACTAAAGGGGGAGCTTCTGTCCGGAGGTGAGATGGGAAGGCAGAGATGGTTAGGAGCTGGTTGAATGGATATGGGGAATCAGAGGTGGAAGGGAGGAGTGTGCTGTCACGGTATAGGGAGAGCAATTAGAGTCACATAACAATGTACGTATAAATTTTTGTATGGGAAGAAATAAAAAAAAAAAGAAATTTCTCTTCTCCACCTTCCCATCCTGCCTGTTTCTAACAATGCTGATACAGCTCAACCCCCTGCACTAGACAAGAGAGATGATAAGATGTCATCTCCCTAGGAATTAGCTCATCATTGTAAAATTTACCCCACCCCCTTTCTCTCCTCTTTCTCCTCAATCTCAGTAGGGTAATATTCTCATATACTGGCCTATACCTGTAGACTATTCCTCATCTTTATTCGCTCTCTTATGGATATCACCAACTTTTGTCTCTCTTGCTCTCATCTGTCTCAGCCACCTTTCATCTTCAAATAAACATACCGAGTTCCTTAGGCCTTAAAAAACTCTGACTTGACTCTAATGCCCTTTTAAGATGTCTAAAAGTAAACAATCTGATCTAATATTCTCAGAGGCCTTTTAAAGAACAACTCATTTGCTCTTTTCTGTATCTAGGCTTTTCTTTTGTGCTTTGTTTGTGGCTAGTTACACCTGCCAAATCTGTAAGTACACAAAGACGTGTGACCTCATGCTTTGCAAACCTGGGACAATTTTCCTAAGTATCCCCATCATCAAACATCTTTTAGTACAGCATTATGTTCTGTTCAAGAAAAACTACACCAATAGGCTGGTTTGTCATAGAGAAACAAATAAAGCATTTCTCATCAGTTAATAAACAGTGGAAAAATACAACAAATAGACAATCTATTATGTATGTAATCTAGGATCTAGGATTACATACAGAGAAGTTTATAGAATTTCAGGTAGTAGACTTGTTGGAGATGAGTGTATTTTTGGATTATTCGAGGAAGTTCTCATGGAAGCTGTGGATTCC